GTCTCCCTTATTTGCCATTATATTTCCACTACCTCAGCTTCAAAATTGGTATATAATTTTTGTCTTTCATGATGCAAGTAAGTTCTTGACATTGATGGTAAATTTAAAATATAAAAAAAATTGGCATCAATTTGGAGCAATTTTGACCTGTTATATCAGTGTCTACTAGGCATCACTGGAAGACAGTATGTGGATATCAGGATCATGGAGAAAAGTCATCATCAGAATGTCTGAAGTCATTCTAAGTAGGGCTGAATCTATTGGGAATCAGTTTTTTAATTATAGTTTTTAAAAACACTCTGAATGATTAATACATGGAGATTAAAGTACACCCTACAAAAGAATGAATGGGTCAACCAGGAAATTAAAGAAGTAATTAAAAAATATATGGAAACAAATTAAAATGAAAACACAACAGTATAAACCCTTTGGGATGCAGCAAAAGCAGTCCTAAGAGGAAAATACATTACAAGAAAGGTCCCAAATACACAACCTAACCTTACACCTAACGGAGCTTGAAAAGCAGCAGCAAAGAAAGCCCAAAGCCAGCAGAAGAAGAGAAATAATAAAGATTAAAGCAGAAATAAACAATATAGAATCCCAAAAAACAGAATAACAGATGAATGAATCTAAGAGTTGTTTTCAAAGAGTAAACAGTCTAACCAGACTTCTCAAAATTAAAAGAGAGAGAACCCAATAGATAAAATCATGAAGGAAAGAGGAGATATCACAAACATCAATACAAAAATACAAACAATTATTCGAGAATACTATTAAAAATCATATGCCAACAAGCTGGACAATCTGGAAGAAATGGACAAATTCCCAGACACTCACACACTACCAAAACTCAAACGTGAAGAAATAGAAAATTTGAACAGACCCATAACCAGCAAAGAAATTGAATCAGTTATCAAAAATCTCCCAACAAATAAGAGTCACATAGCTTCCAGGGGAATTCTACCAGACATTTAAAGGACAGTCAATACCTATTCTTCTCAAAGTGTTCCAAAAAATAGAAATGGAAGAAAAGATTCCAGACTCATTCTATGAAGCCAGCATTACCTTGATTTCCAAAGCAGACAAAGACCCCACTAAAAAGGAGAACTACAGGTCAATATCCCCAATTAATATGGATGCAAAAATTCTCAACAAGATACTAGCAAATCTAATTCAACAGTACATTAAAAAAATTATTCACTATGATCAAGTGGGATTCATTCCTGGATGCAGGGTTGGTTCAATCTTTGCAAATCAATCAACATGATAAATCACATTAATAGAAGAAAGGATAAGAACCATACGAACCTGTCAACATGCAGAAAAAGCATTTGACAAAATACAGCATCCTTTCTTAATACAAACGCCCAAGAAAGTCAGGATAGAAGGAACATACCTCAACATCACAAAAGCCATATATGAAAGGCCCACAGCTTATATCCTTAATGGAGAAAAACTCAGAGCTTTCCCCCAGAGATCAGGAACATGATGGGGATGTCCACTCTAACGACTGTTGTTTAACATAATGTTGGAAGTCCTAGCCTCACCAATCACAACAAAATGAAATAAAAGGCATCCAAATTGGCAAAGAAGAAGTAAGTTTCACTCTTAGCAGATGACATGATACTTTGCATGGAAACCCCGAAAGACTCCACCAAAAAGCAGCCAGAGCTGATAAAGGAATTCAGCAAAGTCACAGGATACAAAATCAATGTAAAGAAATTGGTCTTATTTCTATACACCTATAATGAAGCAACAGAAAGAGATATCAGGGATCGATTCCATTTACAATCACATCAAAAACCATAAAGTACCTAGAAATAAACCTAACCAAAGATGTAAAAGATCTGTACGCTGAAAACTATAGAAAGCTTATGAAAGAAATTGAAGAAGACACAAAGAAATGGAAAAACATTCCATGCTCATGGATTGGAAGGATAAATATTGTTAAAATGTCAATACTACCCAAAGCAATCTACACATTCATTGTAATCCCAATCAAAATAGCACCAGCATTCATCACAGAGCTAGAACAAACAATTATAAAATTTGTATGGAACCACAAAAGGCCCCAAATAGCCAAAGTAATGTTGAAAAAGGAAACCAAAGCAGGAGGCATCACAATCCCAGACTTTAGCCTCTACTACAAAGTTGCAATCATCAAGACAGTATACTATTGGCACAAAAACAGACACATAGACCAATGGAACAGAATAGAGAACCCAGAAATGGACCCACAAATATATGGCCAACTAATCTTTGACAAAGCAGGAAAGAATATCCAATGGAAAAAGATATTCTCTCTAGGAAATGATGCTGGGAGAACTGGACAGCAACATGCAGAAGAATGAAACTGGACCACTTTCTTACGCTGCACACAAAAATAAATTCAAAATGGATGAAAGACCTAAGTGTGAGATGAAACCATTAAAATCCTATAGAAGAAAACAAGCAGCAACCTCTTTGACCTCAGCCACAAAAACTTCTTATTTGACATGTCTCCAAAGGCTAAGGAAATAAAAGCAAAAATGAACTATTGGGACCTCATCAAGATAAAAAGCTTCTGCACAGCAAAGAAAACTATCTAAAATTAAAAGGCAACTGACAGAATGGGAGAAGGTATTTGCAAATGACATATCTGATAAAGGGAAGCTATTCCTGAAGCCAAGACTACACTGTATGTTAGCTGACTTGAAAATAAAATTAAAACATTAGAAAAAATATTATATTTTAGAACATACCACAATCATCTATTAGAATTCTCCTCTAAGCCAAAGGTGATGAAGATTAAAATTAGACACTAGTGTTAAAATTTTAGTTATAGAAAATGAATTAGTCTTATAATCTATCATATAACATAGTACCTATAATTAAAAACACTGTATTGCATATTTAAAATGTACTAAGAGGCTAGGTTTTATATTAAGAACTCTATGACTACTACAAATATTAATAATAATAATAATAATAACAAAATCAGTAATAATAATAATAATAAAAGAAGACAGGAAAAAGCTTTTGGAGGTGATGAATATGTTTACGTCAGGTATTGATGATTGTATATATTTCTTCATGGGTGTATACTTATCACCAGACTCATCAAGTTGTATACATTAAATATGTATAGCTTTTTCTATGTCAATCATACCTCAATTATTTTTTGATTCCAGTATACTATTATATATTTACTAAATCTGCATAATATAGAAACATAATAAGATTAAGAATTACATATGATTATTCCAGATAAGTAAATGGTGCCTATTTGAGAATTAAAACATATCTTAAATTGTCACTATTTTATATAGAAATAGATCCCAATTGTATTATTAGGAGCCATATTTTCTCATGCAGAGTATGCCAAACATTATTTAGCTGAATCTTTATATCTCAGGTGGGTTATGTTATTTATTCATTAATGTCCTATATTTGTCAGTCAGGAGACAAAACTTACACTTACCATTTTAACAGTAAGAATTTAATATATAAGATTGTTAACTATGTATAAAGTTGTTAACAGGGTAAATAAACGGAAAAAGAGCAGTGTTCCTCAGCTCAGAAAAGGGGCCATGGTGAACTGGGAACACAGACCTCTGAGAAGGGGGTGCCTGTCTGCAGGAGCTAATGTTTTTGATGACAGCATGATGCAGCTGTTTCTTCAAGCACTGGAAAAACTGCCAACTGGATTTAGCTGCTGTGATAAGAACAAAGTGGTGTTGCAGAGGTGAGGTGTTGCTAGGGTGATGCTGACTAGAACTGCAAGTCCAGAAGAAGCCCATAGGAAGGAGACAGGGAGCAGAAAGTTCCCTTTTACCCCCTCAACCTTGCAGTCTCCTACAAGCACTTCCTATTGCCAAAGCCTAACAGAGGCTACTAGCAAAGCAAAAATGTAATCTGCAAAGTTCCAGGTGCAGCATCACAAAAAAACAGATATGGAAGCGTGAGTTTGGTGCTCAGAAAAAACAGCATAATTAATGGCACATGGCCTCAGAGGACAGTCAGCATATGCATAGGAAAGAGCATATCCTTTCAACAAATCCTCCCAGAAAACCTGTTGCCTTTTTGCAAGCACCTTATTTGCCCTCTCTTCTAAATATGTTACCTGTAATTCAAGAAAGGATGGAGAGAGTTTATTCAAGATACCTGTTTTACCCATAACCCTGAATCAATAATGTCTACCTCTACAGTGAGTTAATTTTTCTCTTACAAAATAAAGTACAATGGCTCAGTGACAATTGTTTATGAAAATTTCTAGGAGTCATTATCACTTCTATTTGGAATCTGGGCACTGTTTCAATAATTAAAGTGATCAGAAGTTTGATTGATAGTTTATAATTCCTTAGGTAGCTGAAGCAGTCAGGATATTTGATAGTAGCTCTTTGGATCCTATTTTTATACCTAATAGGATATAATAATCAGACATAAATGCAGGGATGATAGGTATTTGACACCATAAACACAATAGATTTGTCTATCTTGAATTTAGATAAAAATATTAAACTTCTATATCCATACAGGATTGTATAGGACTTTTTATACATCAAATCACATTAGTTTTTGCAATATGTGAATTGACAAGAAGCATTTAATTTGGGAAAATATGTCAAAATTAAGCATAAAGCAAGTAATTATCTCTGTCATATTTATGTCTATTAAATTGCTGGTTTGATAATAAAGCAATCTTGTGAAGGGAGAACTAAAATTCTAACTCTTTAAAATAAGTGTTTCTCTTCTGCCTAAAACAAATGACCTTCCAATGAAACAATTCTAATCTTATTACATTGGCTTGATCTTTATACTTACATTTATAAAGGACTCGTTATATCAACAATGATTAATAGAGCTAGAAATGGATTTCACAGAGATTATTTAAGTAACTTTCTACGATTTTACCAACAAGTTTTTTTTTTAATGTTTCTTGGTGGGAGCATTGAGAGAAGAGCATTATCCATGTATATTTACCAATGTAGAGGGTTAATAATGTTTAAAGTACTTCTTACCTATTAACATCCCAGATTTTACTAGTTGTATCCAATGAGGAAGAAGCCACAAAATCACCATAGGAGTGCCATGTGCAGGACCATACTGCATGGTTGTGTCCTTCAAAGGTCAAAATGCAATTGCCTTTAGACAGGTCCCATAATTTAACTGTAGTGTCACCACTTGAAGTAGCCAACTTGTTGCCACTATTTGCAAGAAGATAAAGAAGTAATTTGTTAAAAAGTCAACTCATAATTAATTTTTATGAATGGTTATATGCTATGAGTAATGTATGTGTGTGTGTGTGTGTGTGTGTGTGCGTGTGTGTTTGAGTTATTTCTGCTTAAAAGCATTAAAATGGCATACTAAATGCTTGAATTTTTTTTATCTTGAGTTCACAAAATTTGATACTAGTATTTTTTAGTAATGCAGGGTGATGAGAAAAACTGTTGTTCTATACTCTATAGATTAATTCTTCTATATTCTTCTAGATTAATTCATGAAATAAGTTTTGTGTGTATGTGTGTGTTTGTTTTTTGTTTGTTTGTTTTTAGTGTATTCAGTGTATTAGGTTTCAGGCTATGTGTTAGGTTCTGTGGATAATGTAACCTCAGAATGATGAAATTTTTAGACATAGGCTAAAATAATTTCAAAAACACAATACAAAACAATAAGTCAGCATTGCTTATGTTTAGATTAACTAAATGTTCCAAGAATACAATTTGGATGCTAAAGGAAGTGAATCAGGAATGACGAGATTTTGAGCTACATCTTGAGAGATGAAAAATTTTGAAATAAGTGGTTAAGGATGAACCATTAGATTTTCCATTTAGGTAATTAGTAGACGTTTGAAAAAGCAGTGACTTTAAAGCGGTAGACACAAATGCTAGTTTAAGAAATGAGTGGATGTCAATGATATAAGCAGAAACATCTATGATTTTTTGGTAAAATATCAGTTGCAAGAAAATTTCAATTCCATCATTTCCTTCACAGCCATCTGCATTGAATGCTCTATGTGTTTTCTTAGTAACTTTTCTTCCCCTGAATATAATGAATTGCTTATCTGTACTCTTTTCCTGTGATTTTGATTGAGAACTGTTTCCTCTCTCTGTTTCTATGGCATCAAGCACTAGAACTGACCAATTGAAGTGCCCAGCAAATGCTTCCAAAATGAATAAATATATGAATGAATGAATGAGTCTGTGCTATAAAAGAATAAGAAAAGGTACTCAGGATTTCCAAGAGACGGAATGGCAAGATCAAGATGAGTATTTGCTCACTTGTTCTTATTTTTTTATGCTGAGAGAAATACATTTTTTTTTAAATTTTTTTTTCAACGTTTATTTATTTTTGGGACAGAGAGAGACAGAGCATGAACGGGGAAGGGGCAGAGAGAGAGGGAGACACAGAATCGGAAACAGGCTCCAGGCTCTGAGCCATCAGCCCAGAGCCCGACGCGGGGCTCGAACTCACGGACCGCGAGATCGTGACCTGGCTGAAGTCGGACGCTTAACCGACTGCGCCACCCAGGCGCCCCGAGAAATACATTTTTAAGTGCAGGGAGGAAACAACCACTGGAGAGGGAGTGGGGAGAGTTTAAAGGTGGGGAAGGAAAGGTAGGTACAGAGTGAAGAAGTTCTCATTAAAGTTATAAAAAGATATCTATTATTCTGATTAGCAGAATTTAAAAAAAAATTACTCTATGACAGGTAGTCCTTCACTAATGGACAGATATTTAAAACTGTCTTTTTCTTGGGTGCCTGGGTAGCTCAGTCAGTTGAGTGTCCAACTTTGGCTCAGGCACAATCTCACAGTTTGTGGGTTTGAGCCCTACATCGGGCTCTGTGCTGACAGCTCGGAGCATGGAGCCTTCTTTGGGTTCTGTGTTTCCCTCTCTCTCTCTCTCTCTCTCTCTCTCTGCCCCTTCCCTGCTCGCACTCTGTCTCGCTCTCCTTCAAAATAAATAAACATAAAAAAAATTTAAACTTTTTCTTTGCAGCTGTTGTTTATTTGTACATATATTTAGGATTCAAAATTTTGCTTTTTAATATTAAAGACTGAAAAATACATTTGTTTAAAAATATACAAGAAGGGGTGCCTGGCTGGCTCAGCCTAGAGAATATGCAACTCTTGATCTTGGGGTCGTGAGTTCAAGCCTCACACTGGGCTTAGAACTTACTTAAAAATATCCAAATAAAAATAACATAAAAAATAATTTAACCATGCCTCTTTTTCAAATCTGTCCTTCTGATGGGCTAGCATACTATTTTGGACATAAGTCTTGCTTTAGGATAACAATTACTATAAAGTATTTCTGCCTGTGACTGAAAACTCAGGTAAGTTTTACATTCCCTCTTGCTTTAAACTATGTGACAAAAGAAACAAAAATCACAATAGTAATAATTACAACTGGAATGAAGCAGTTGTAATCACCTTTACAAGTGCCATCATCTGATATTTAGGTTCCCAATTCACCAGTTTGAGACCCGTGTGGGCTCTGTGTTGACAGCTCAGAGCCTGGAGCCTGCTTCGGATTCTTTGTCTCTCTCGCTCTCTGCCCCTCCCCCACTTGCACTCTGTCTCTTTCTCTCAAAAATAAACAAAATATATTTTTAAAATATGGATGATAAGTCTTGCTCGATATAACTTAAAATCTTGTTTTGAAAATCAAATAAGAGAATTCTTACAATAGCACATTTTCAATTCTGGGTGATATTCAAACCTGGTATTGTTTTTAAAGATTGTCTTGTGATCTCCAGTTAAGTTTTTATGTGGAATTCGTTACCCATATTTCCATAAATAGTGGAATGGAATCCAATTACTGCCATTACTCCATAGTCTCAGATACCTGTGTCTATCTGCTCAAGAGGACTATTTGAATTTGTAAAAGGACTATCAGTCACAATATTCTCACTATAGAATATGTATGCATTATTTTATGTAGCAGAATAACACATAACCAAATTATATTGAAATATTTTCTCATAGTTTTTATAGGTAAAAGATAAAAATTTTGGTTTCACTGAGCTCATAAAATGATTATTACAAGAAAAGCTCTAAATTTAGGATCTAGATTACTTGGAAAACATTAAGGCACATTTGATTTACATTTAATGTGCCCAGTTTGTGAGAGTCCCGCAAACTTAGAAGTAAAAGTTGAAACAAAAACGGCTGAGAATGTTCTCATCAAAGTTATTCTAAACCCTTAGCCTTTGATACAGAGCTGCTGGCTGCATTTAGTTGGTGAGTGAGGCCACTGTGACAGAGTAAAGAGAATGCCAGTCCACACAGAGAATGGTCTTTTTTGAAGTAAACAGCTCCCACGTCCAAGTGTTGTTCCCTTTGTTCCTATATGATACACCCTTCTTCTGTGTAGAAATCTAGAATCAACAAAGAATCATAAATAAAGTGAATTCAGAAGACAGCATTATGTGCAGATATTATGGACTCTAGCAAAAGCAGAGAGGCGACATTGAGTGTTCAGGAAAGACCAAGCCTTCCCTGCCTGGCTGTAAAACCACTGCCCTTACTGGGTTGGGTGTATTGCTTAGAGCTCCAGATACACCTTTGTCACTTGCTTCAGAAACTTCAATTGGATTTTCAGCTTAGTCTTTCAACTTTTACACAGGAATGGCAAGATGCTGGCAAGTGGACTCTTTCGTGCCTGGTATACAGTATTTATAAGACATACTATTTATATTGGCATGCATGAATGATGTGCATATTAAGGAAATATTGGCATGCATGAATGATGTACATATTAAGGAAAGAGATTTCCATTGTACATAGATCTGTGTTAATAGAATGGAATAGCCTACATAATTCAGGGTTGTGTATATGAACAAGTTTATGTAGAAAAGACATCTTGGTACAGAGGACAGAAAAATATAGAATTATAAAACTACTAGCATGTTACTAATTTACTAGCATGTAACTAATTTAATGTTTTTTAAAAAAAATTTAAATATTTTTATTTATTTTTGAGACAGAGAGAGACAGAGCATGAGCAGGGGAGGGGCAGAGAGAGAGGGAGACACAGAATCTGAAGAAGGCTCCAGGCTCTGAGCTGTCAGTACAGAGCCTGATACGGGGCTTGAACTCACAGACTGTGAGATCATGACCTGAGCTGAAGTCGGACGCTCAACCTACTGAGCCACCCAGGAGCCCCTCTTTTTATTTTGTTTTATTCTCTGTATTTATGTTATTGTTTAGGTTGCAGATGCAGAAGGATAGAAATTGGTAGGTTAGTTTACGAAACTTTATATGGAGATGATGAATAACACTGTCATCCTGGAAATAAGATAGAGATGCCCAGGAATGCCTTTAAACTTTTAAGTATCAATTAATATCTTTGGGATTATTTTATTATTTAATTTTCTTATTGTATCCAACATACTTCTGAGTATTCTCTAGTTGTCATTCATATGCATGCATGCATACATACATGCCTATGACACATTACAATTGAATATTCTTGAAAAACATAACCTGGATAATTATAATATTTTGATATATATCCATAGGTACTAAAATATAGTTCTCATTCTTTTAAAAATTATGTCTCTATGCATACCTTATGACTCTGACTGGAAAAAGTTGTTTTGAGAATATTAAATCTAATCTTTTTCAGCTATCTCAAAACCTTTACATTTGACACTTTATTTTCCTTTCTTTCTTTTGACCCAACGTTCTAGAAGACACAGGAGATTCATTTATTCATTTCACAGTCACATGCTTCAGACACTGTACTAGACAACTTAATCCATCATCTCTCTGTGCTTCTCAAACATACCAAGCATGTTCCCCTCAGGGTATCTGTACACCTTTCCTTTGACACTAAGATGTCATCTCCCATGGATATTCCCATGGCTTTCCATGACTTCAGTTGAAGACTTTTTCTTCAACTTCACCTTATCGTGGAGAGATTCTCTGACAATGCCAGTTAAAATACTGTATCACCCTAACTTTTTGTCTCTTGCTGTTACTCTTTATAGCACTTACTACCATTCATTAAATTATACATCACTTATTTATAGTCTCTCTCTCTCTGCCAGTGGGATGTAGCAGCTATGAAAGGAGGAAATTTTTTTAAAATTCACTCCTATATCTCTAATGCCTAGCTTCATACTTAGTACATAGGGAATCTCAATAAATAACTATTGAATTAATAAATTAATGCATGAAATGCAATTATGAATATGACAAA